AGTTGGTCGATTGGTTGGAATTTTTTTATCTTTCCGAGCAACTTGTGGGTCACGCTGCCAAACAAAATATAGTCATCGAACACTGTGACACACTTACACGCACATCAATTCACCCATCAGTGCAGCAAAAAGGGGGCAACAGCAGCAAAAGTCGAAGCCTCATAAATATGAAATTAGTTGGTAATTCTATAAGCGACACGCGCCCTCTGCCATTCAGCTTCCCGTTTTTATTTTCAATTTATTTGAATTTAAATAACTTTCGTTCGTTTTAACTGAATTGCCAGCCAGCGTGGGAAGCTGCGGTGGAGTGGGTAAACATTTTGCATTTCTAAAGGTGGAGTTTTATTTTTTGTTGTTTGTTTTTTTTTAAAGAAAAAATAATAAATATTTGAAGAGTAAATTTGAAACAATAACAGTGAATATAAATAAAGCTTTGGAGTAAATATTAACATGACTTTTTAAATTCATCTGCGGCTTTAAAGCGATAAATATTTTGATCTTCTCTGAAGAGTTTTGTAATCGGGATTACTGAGTTCGTTTAACGAATGGATCTTGATTTGTAATGTATATAGATTAATGTAAGAGCTATGCGTGGGACACGATCCGATGACAATTCCAACCACTTTCTATGTCCAACAATGATCTTCATATTGGTATTATACATAATGAGAGGAATCCACAGATGATGGACTTATATAGCCTATAATTGCATATTAAGTATACATATTTAGGTCTGTTAAGTTTATACCACACGGGATTTATAATTCGCTTTATGTAAGGTATTTTTTTTATCGAAAATAGATAGAAGTACGCAAAAAATGTTGCAATATAGATGACACCTTCTTCGGATTTAATGAAAATTTGCTTCAAATATTACTACGTCTAACCAGCGAATCAAATCGGATATGGATCGTTCAAGACCGGCATAAAAAAAAACTTCGTATTTGAGTTAAATGAATGGTTCGGAGTATCGGAGTTTATTTTGTGTATAAAATTATCTGTCCGTTGCAAGGTGTTAGGCAATTGAAATCTTAAACCGTATTTTCTAAAAGATCGACGTTTTTGATTTATGCCGGTCTTGAAGTAAATGAGCGATATGACATTTAGAATATTTAAAATTTTAGCCCATTAACCTTTCAAACATTCATTAAAAGCACTTTCTCTACTTGTTTGCTTGTGCAAAGTTTAGTTCAAATTGGATGCTCTATTTGCATTAGTATGAATATTCTCCATCTTCGAATTTGATTTTGGTTTCTAAGAAATATTTCGATGTGTAAAGTTTGCATTAAATTGATTACTCCTTACGTGAGCCAGCTAACAGAAAGACGGACAGATATTTGAAAACCGACTCCAAATTGCCTGGTGGTGTAAGGGTTCTGAAAATTTGGTAGAAATAGAATGAATCGGTACAAACGATAGCAACCGACAGGCCTTTTAGTATTGAAAAGTAAGTGCAATTTCTTTCAAAGCGGTAAAAATAAAAAAAGTGGTCGAAAATTACTTCAAAATAATCAATGCTTGAAAGTCTTCGCGTGGAGGTCATTTAAATGTTAGCCATTTTTTACGGGAAGCACCAGCCAGACACGCGGTCGGGCATTTGTAAATTCCAATTTCATTTGATTATTCAACAAATTTTAACACTTTTTTTATTTCGCAAAAATGTTATTGTAATATCCTGAATACGAAATAAGTTATGGCAAAATAAATGTGGTTAACACTTTGTATGATCGATTTTTGATCTACCCAATCAATAGATGGCGCTGACGACATGTTTTTGGCAGGATTGCCATGTTAACAGAAAAACACAGGCAATTTCGATTCTTTATAACTTTTGAATACGTAAGGATACAGAGATAATTTAAGTGGACATTGCTAGTCCCATTTTATTTTCTACTACTGTCGTTGCTCGTTCAAAAGTTATTAATACTGTAACTCTCCGGAAACATGGTAAATCTGTCAAACAGTCTTGGATATTGTAGGATAGTGGGTGTTCTAACCTATACATACCCATATTTCTGTATCATAAATAAAAATCCATTTAAGAAAAAATGAACCATTAATGGGTAAAACATTGCTGAAGATTGAAAATCATTATCTTGAGTAGTTCACGAGATAAGTGTACAAAATTAAAACCGTGTTTAAACAAACCCTTTAGCTAATAATTCAAAACCCAGCTAGGGTTTTTTTTCTTATATCATAATAACCTTTTCGATTCTGTCGGTCCCGGTTGGTTCAATATTTTAGTGCTGCACAGTGCTATCAATATCCATTCGAATTAGTTCTTATGCAATTTAAAGTTAAGAAGTATCAGAAATACCGATGATTTTCTCTAAATTGAGCAGCACTGGCAAACACTTGTCGTCACTGACATCTGTTGAATGGGTAGATTCAAAAATATATTATGCAAAAGATTAGGTTTATAAAGTATGGAATATTACATTGTGTGGGAGGTACCAGAAGCAGGGGAATCCCTTCCATAGTATCCAACGAAAAATGGGATCTAAAAAAATGGGATGAGGCAAATATTTGGCAAATTTAAGGCTGAGGTTATGATGATATATCATGAAACAATAGTATATGTGTACTGTTGACATTTACTTTTGAAACCACGAAATGGTATCGACCAAACCGTCGTATTGTTTTAAACGTTTTTATTGTAACTCGAATTCTCAGCCCCTGAATTCGGATTATTTATAATATACACGCCACTATACATGTTTATTGCCAAGTATTTTCTAAATTTTGTTGAAATTAATATTTTTTGGCCCATTGGCATAAATAATCATAAACAACAAATTCCCACCCGTCAAACCTTGCTGCATATTAATTCCCAGTAAAGCTTTTTCCCAAAAAATCCACCATAAAAAATAAAAAAGACTCAATGTGTATTTTTTTATTAATATTTTTTGTATTTTTTTCTTTTTTATATGTATGTATATATATGTGTGTGTATTTATATATAGTGGTACTTTTTTGTTTTGTTTTTACATTCATTTTTTTATATTTTTAATTATATTATAATAATAATAAAAATAAATTTGACTTAACTTCGATATTGTGATTATCGTTGAATTACTTGGTAAATAAAAATTAGAGAGACCTCTTAAACTTACAACATAATGAAGATGTGACTCCCAGGGAGTCACTCCCTACACCTTTCTAGTAGGGAGAGAGAGTGACATGAAGGACAGTAAAGGTTATTAACTAAAAATAAGATGAACATTTTTTAATTTGTTTATATAAAAAACTATAATAATGAAATTGTTTAAAACAAATAATATTGGATTGTTGGTTGGTGTTGTCTTAAAATGAAACGAACTACAATTAGAATTAAAGGAAAACTGATTTGAAGGACTCACACAAAGAACACATATACAATATAACAGTTAAAAAAATCAAAACACAACACACCTTGGAAGAGAAAGATGATTGAAAAGGGCGGGGGGATAATGATAATGAGTGCATGTGAAGACTTCTTTGAGGGGGAGTGTGTGTGTGTGTAGTTGGGGGAATGTGAGTTTGCAATTAAATATTTAATTAATAAATTGTTTAGTATATGATTTGTTTGTTTTTTGTTTTTGTACACAGATTATGTTTTTGTTGTTGTTATTATTTTAATTAATTATTAACTATCATTTTTTGTTTTGCTTTTTTCGTTTTTTTATTGTTATAAGGAAATAGGTGTGGGACAAGAAGACAATTATTTATTAATATTAGCTTAGATTTACAGGGGGAGCGAGGAGGGATATTTCATTGTTTGATTTTCTTATTTTTTGTTCATTTATACAACGTCTAAATAAAATTTACTAATTTCTATATGTTTTTGTTTTGTTTCAGAGTATTCTTTTCTTATCTCTTTTTGTTTTTTGCTTTGTTAGACATTTATATATAATATATTTTTTATACAAACATTAATTATAATTATTTTTAGTTTTCAATTTCGTTAGTTTTTTTTTCATTTGAACTGTGTTTTGTTTTTTTTCTTGTTTTATTAACTAAATTTTTTACATAATTTTGTTATGATTGTTTTTTGTTGTTGTTGTTTTATTTTATTTTACAATTACTATAACTATTTTGTTGGTTTTGTTTTGTTTCCTTTGCCAGGATGTGGTTTAATAATAGTGATATGAAGAGTTGAATCAAAAGAGAGGGACATTGGTTCTCTTTGTTGTTTGGGTTTGCTTTGAAAGTGGCAGGGAGCGAGTGAGATATGGCTCTGTGAAGGTGATTAAAGTAATTTTTAATTTTTTCTAAAGAGTAACGGTTATAGGAATCCAGATAATCGATTGTGATTTGCCGATTTTGTTGAAAATAAAAATCAACAAGTCAAAATCGATTATTTCTGAATGATTATTACAAATTTAATTTATTTTAATTTTGAAAATTTAATTAGAGACTGATTTTTACTCTTTAGAATGGGAATCGTTTCTGTAATTAGAATAAAATTATAAATCATTTTTGCAAACAAAAAAAACAAGTTTGTTTAATGTTCCCAAAAATAAGAATAATTTTTGCTAAATAAAAAACATAATGGAACAATTAAAAAATGAAAATTGTGGAATTTGAATTTCCTTGGAATGTTAGTGGGAAATACTGGAAAAATGTTTCTTACACAAAAAATGTTTTAAACATAGGACAAGATTGGCTTGAGTATTGTAGTTTTTTTGTTGGTTTTCTGAAAATTATTTTTTGTTGCTTAATTAATTAATACATACATAGCTTATTTAGTTGTTGTTGTTTGTTTTTTGCTTAATTATCACTCGTTTTTTCGTTGACATTGGCTTTTAAAAGAAATCATAAAAAATTGTAGGATTTTTAAATATTTACACATGATTTTGGTGATATTTTGCATAAGGTCCGGAAAAATTCGATCAAAGGACCTTTACACTTACAACTTTCTGGGCTTTCGATTCATTGAAGTTTTCGTCATTTGTTGTCTTCTAGTGGGACCCTGAAAGTTGTCTCTTTTTTTTTGTTTCTTTTCGATATGTTTATAGTTATTATTTTTACAAAATCTAAGCATAATCCGAATTGATGCGGTGGTGCTCACTACTGGCCATTCCATTGGCATCATCATCCGATTTGCCGCCGCAATATTGCATCAGCAGATTCTACACCATATTCACATACTTGTCCTGAGGTGTCATGTAGTCTAGGCTATTCTGCGAAAAGGCCTGGGCCGAAACGGTGCCCGTAAACGAGGGACTCGGCGACAATCCGAAATTCGATGCGGCCGAATAGCCCGAATGTCCCATATTGTAGTTGACCTGATTCTGATTGCTGAAGTATTCCATCTGGGAATAGTAGCTGGGTGCCTGGCCATAGTTGTTGGGATACTGTTGATATTGGTTGTGCCAAAAGTTGTAGGAATCATGATTAGACATGTAGGCAGCGGAATGGGCCGCCGAGTGATGGGCCGATTGAGCTGATTGAGCAGCATGGGCAGCGGCTGCCGATTGCGGGGACATGGGAGTAATGGGCGGTGAGGGTGTGGTAATGCTGGAATTCGAATCCATGGGTGTGATATTGCCACCGGGCTGGAGTAGGCGTGGATTCGCCGATGCAGCCGTACCATAGATACTGTGATGGTGAGCACTGCTGCCAATATCACCTCCCGACTCTTTGAGCGTGTCATAGGAGGCAGCCCTTAAGGCATCGGCATTCGATACGGGATATCCGCTGGAGCCGATGTGTTCCTTTTTGCAAACAATACTCACAGGACTGACGGAGGTGGCAGGTGTGGGCAGCAGTGGAGAGGAATTGTGATGTGCCGCACCGCCACCTGATGTATTGAGGCCGGCCGCACTGGCCGCAGCATTCGCCGCCGCATGGCTATTGGCACTCATGTGATGCATATGGGAAGCGGCTGCGGAGCTGGTGGGTGTAACGGCGGATGTGGCAGAGCTGGATGCATTAAGGAAGGAACTGTGATGCGATTTGATGGATTGTGCTACGGCAGCAGCTGCAGCCGCGGCGGCCGATGATGAACCGGGACCGCCGGAATTGGGATTATTCGAATTCGATGAATTCTTATTGCCGTTGTTGTTGTTGGCCGACGAGGAGGAGGACGAGGAGTGATGATTATTTGATTTCGAAGAGGAATTCGTTGAGTTGGAGTTGCTGCCCGAGCTATTCGATGCATTGCGAGATGAGGACGACGATGAACAGGAGCCGGAACTGGAGTTGACCGATTTGGAATTGCTTAAACTGTTGGATTGCTGTTGTTGTTGCAACTGTTGACGGCACTTGGCACGGCGATTTTTGAACCAAACCTGGAATAGAGGGAGAGGGAAAAAATCAATTATTAAAAATGTCTGGAAATTTTCCCACAACAATTATTATTCACCCGACCCAAAAGAAAATTGTATTTGTCAACAAAAACAACAACAGACGATGCTGCCTGTCGACTGCTGTTGTTTTTGTTTTTCTGGTTTGTTTTTCAAGCGTAAAATGCCAACACTTTGCCTGCTGCCACATCATATCAATGAATAAATTATAGTTGTTGTTGTTTACCAAGTCACGCGCCCATAAGTAAAAAGGATGCTTAGCCGCCCAGGGCTCTAAAGCTTGCTTCCTAATAAAGTTATATAATTCACCCCTGAGTGATGAGAGGGTGGTGGTGATGGCCGGACAGACGTATGTGGTAAATGTTTATCCAAGGCGTACAGCTGCAAATTGACTCGATTATATTGTCAAATAGAAAAACAAACCTCATACCATACCCGAACATCCGGACACCCTCTTATTTTCTGGCTGGGTGCTGCTGCTTATCGCAGTTGAAACAAGTGCACAGGGATACATTAAGAATTTTTATTTATTCATGCATTCGTTCGTTTGGTCGTTCGTTCGCTCCTTCTTTGCTTGGTTTTTAGTCTCCCCACCCCTGGCTAGCACTAGCTCTTCACAAACATTCAAGCTCACATTATCCTTGTTTGTTATGCTTAGAAGGGGAGAAATGCTGGCCAACATTCCGCAAAGTGCTTACGAACGCATTTATGTTCACAGCAACAACCATCATCATTGTCAACAGTGTTTTCGACCCCCTCTTCTCCTTTCCTCTTCAAATTTGGCCACAAATATTTCATTCCCTGTGATTTGAAAAAAAGCTTTCTGTTTTTTTCTTCTTGTGGCTCTGTGAAATCCAAGGCAAGAATTCTAGGCTAATGGCAATGGTTTCATGTTGCCATCACCCTCGTGCCACACGCCAACCTTAAGTATTTGCAACCAGGACTCATTTGTGTGGGGGAAACTTACAATGATGAGTTATCATCAAAGCAGAAAGGAGAGGAAAGGAAAGCAAGGAAATAAAAAACCCAAGGGTAGGGCGTCGCAATATTTGTGGCAATCATTATAACAACATTTCGAGTAGGTATTGTTGTCGTTATTGCTTGACGAGAAAAGAGCATTAAATAAGGCGTATCAGATTTCATTATAGCAAAGATTTCCCAATTTGTTTGATTTCAATTTGCTTCCATATCGTCCTGGGTGTGAGAGTGTGTGAATGGTTTTTTGCGATAACTATGAGATTGGGGCGTTTTTACGTCTTTGTTTCAATTTGTGTTAACTGGGAATTTTACAAAAGAAAATTGAAAAAGAAGAAGAAAAAAACAAATGATTTCAAATCACTGTCAATTCAATTTTCATTGGGTTTTTTCTACTTCATTGCCAAAAAGTGGTGGGGGAGAGGACTATTTCTTTCAACATATTTAGTGCCTAGTAAGCATTCTCGGTGTGTGTCTGTGTGTGTAAATTTCAATTTAAAAAGTCCTTGGTTTGAAATTGGAAATTCCTTTTTCGCTTTTTCGTTTGATGTCATTTAATGAGCCATAACATTTATTAAATGCTGAGCTTTTAATTTAAACATAAAATCGGCAGATCAAAGCGGCAACTTCTATTTGCAAATTTTTATTATTAAATTATGAGTTGTATAAAAGGAAAAATATTAGGGGAATGTATGCTGAAAGAATTTTATGCTCGAATACAAGTGCCCATGTGAAATTATAAAAAAAATTAAAAATCTGAAAAAAAAAGAATTTTTAACGGAAAATATTTTTTTGATTTCTTTAAGAAAAATAATGAATGTTCGTTTTTACAATTAATTTAATAATTCTTTGATTTTTTATTGATTTTATTTCATATTCAGAAATTTAAAATGTTCTGAATTACTTCCAACCTATAACAGACTTTAATAGTTTTTTCTTTTTTTTTCTCCCCATCTAAATTGTCTGACAATTCCTTGACAATATTAAGAAGCCATGTGCAAGTTCTCTCACAACAGCAACAACAACATGGTTTTAAATCACAACAACTCTTTCAGACTCCCTTTTGCGCTATGATTTTGACTATTGTTAGGAGGAAACTGTCTCCATAATCTGCATTGGGAAATTTTCAACAATACAACAGCTGTGTCACAAAAACGAAACAACAATAACAAAAACGCATTTCAAAGAAAAAAATGAAAAAAACGAAAACAAACAAAAAACTATTTACGCATTGTTGACAAATGCAAAAAAAAATTGAAACCAAAGTAAAAGGATATGTCATCAAAATACTTGGGGTGATATTTTCACCAAGCATCAAACAAAAAAAGAGTTAGGATACCAACATCAAACCCCCTAATGAAGTAAAAATGATGCCAAGCTCACCAAACAATTCATCCCTTGTCTCAACGAGAAGAGAGGGAGAGTGTACATATTACAAGAACCTCCCAAAAAACACAACTATAGCCCAACAGACGAGTATGTGCATGCATGCATCCATATGCACATAATTGTGTGCCATTTATTTCGTTTGCTAATGACAAATTACGATTATGCCTGTTCGGCACAAACGACAAAAAACAAGAAACGGCATAGCCATTTATATTCATTACATAAGCCTGCTGATCAAACGAATGGATGTACGAACACACACACATTCTCACACACAATTGGCAACCAAAAATGCCATATGCGGCATATATTCTTCTTCTATCCCATTTTGACACTCGGTTTGGTCTATGTGGATCTGCCCGATGTTGTGCTGGGTTGTTGGTGTTGGTGTGAACGTGCTCGGCTAAATTATATTGTTGACTGTGAATAAACGGAAGCGCTTAGCAAGGTTATCATCAACATGAATAATAACGATTTGATTTATGATTTTTCTTCGTTATGCTTGCTTACAAAAATAAACGAAAAGAAGCAAAAGCAACAACAACAACAACGACGAGGAGGACCAAGAATGGCAACTGATATTCTGATATTTTAAGCATCTGGGCTGATTTGTTGTTGTTGTTTGAGAGAACTCAGCATCATCGTCATCATGGAAGCCCTTTTGAGGGCATTGCAAGAGAGCAGAGTATACCGAAAAATAAAATTGGCACAAGCACAAAGAAACCTCCAACCCCGAACTTAACAACCAGCCATATTTTATTCCTTCCTTCCTCCCTTTCCCCCTCCTCGGTTTGAGTTGTTAGTTTTGCCTGCGTGTGGTGTAAACAGTAGCATTAGGGCGTCAATGTTTGTTCTGTTCTGGTGCAGATAAGCTCTGGAAAATGATTACATTTCATGAAACACGCATACTCCTCCCGAAGGCAATAAACACACACACACACTCGTACGCATACATACACAATCATGTAGACATAAACACATTTGCTCATAAAATATTTTTAGATTCGAGACAAGGAATGAAGCCAACTAGCCAGCCAACGATTGGTTTGTATTTTTTTTTGTATTTTATCCTTATTGAAATTTATTCATCTCGTTATGTATGTGTGTGTTTGCGCCTTTGTGTGGGTGTTTTGGACTTTGCACGATCTTAAGAATAATGTGTTATGCATAGGGAATATGTAGGTCTGTTATTCGGTTGATATGCACATCTTTATGGAAATATTTATGTGAATGGAGTTTTATTTTTTGTAAATTATTGTTTCAGAAGTTAATGGGATTTTTTTTGGAACTACAACAACATTTATGAATTTTTAATAATGTCCTTTTAAAGGAAACCCCTCTTGAAGTTTATGTTTTTTTATGTTAATTTAAGGAAAAACAAAATTGAAGACATTTTTGAAGGGTTTTCAAGAATTATTAATTTTTGTAGTGATCTGTTAAATCAAATATTCCTTGAAATTAATTTAGTTTTTTATATTTTCCGGCTTTAGAGTACAAATACATTTTGCTTAAATTTTTATTTTTCGTTTTCAAAATGTTCAAGAAGTTTTGGTAATGCAAGGAAATATAACTTGAATGCATGTATTTTTATATTTTTCCTTGCCTTATTTGATCTACTTTAAAAACACAACCCATCAAACTTTAACTTGTCATTGTTACAAATGTCAATTACCTTCAAGATACCAATACAACATTTCGTACTCCAGCACATGACTTTTTCCATGTGAGCCCCTACTATGTAACGTTTCTTCGTCTATACCCCCCTCCTGTATGGTATTCATTACAAAGTGTGGAAAATGGAAATTGAAACCGAAACAGCAATCAGTTGTAGACGACTGTAGCTAGGGAAAATTCTATATGACCACGTTCCGAAATAGTAGTAGTCAGACAGACAGATACAAGGATACCATAGTAAAGACCCATAAAATAACAAAAAATAAAAAATTAAGAACCTGAGCCAGACAAACAGACTAGCGGTTCGTCTGCACAACAAATCTACAAAACAAAAGGAAAACGCAGAGGCACACACACACAACACCTACAACAATTATAGTTTACCAAACAGCAATTCCAGCTATTTGCTGTTTGGCAAATGATATTCAATAGTTAAACAAAAAAGAAATGCAAACGTAGTCAGAATAATGGCCAGAAGCCGGTTGACAGTCGGCCTGCCGGGATGTCTGTCCGTCCATCCGTGCGACAGACAATTGTAGAATGAAACCAACGTGTCAATTTTCACGAGTGGTCAATTTGCAATGCAAGGGCTTCCCTTAACACACAGAAAACCAACAAACGTACTAAATCGTACAGCTACTGGCCCGGTCCGGTCCGGCAGCAACATGTTTTGTTCATGTTTCGATTTCAAACCAAAAAAGCAGGAATGCATTTAAATGCAACGTTTGGTTTTTGTTGTTGTTGCTGCTGTTGTTTGGTTGTTTGTTGCCTTAAGATATTCAGTGTCACGTCCTTAAATTACTTATAATCGTTTGTTCTACAATAAATGTCCTTCTACCTTTTGCAATCCTTCATTGTGTCTGGTCATGTTTACAGGAACACGACGACAAAAAAAAACCTACAGAAGAAAGAATAACACACAGAAGGCCCGGCTGTGTTTGTTTTGTCATTTTTATTTGAACAACTGATCAACGTTTGAAATCTCGGTGTTCTGTTCTGCAAAATGACATCTCAATTTTGTTAGCTGATCCCCAGTGATTTGCTAACAAATCCCCGAAATTCTCAAATAGACCTCAGGGCATTGCCAAATAACTAGGATGACCATTTTTCAATGCAATACTTCGTAATTATGTCATATCATCAACAAACAATAAAATGTTTTACCTCCCCATAAAAGACAATTGAGGTAGCAGTAGCAGCAGCATCCTAAATAAACACTGTTTTGAATTTATTCGTGTTTATTTAGCCACATTAACACTAAGGCTAACAATGGTTTGCCAGGACAATTGTGACAAACGAAATTAAACGATTTATTATCAAACGGGGGGAAGGACAATTTGTTGGAAATGAATTGTTAACATCTCTCGTTTTTCGGCAATGAAATCTCTTCGTTTCTTTTTTCCTTGTGACACACAAACGTTAAGCAAACAAACAAACATTTTTGCCATTTGAGGGTTAAATTTTGTTAGATGTGTTTACTTAATATATTTAGATGTAATATATTTTAATGGTTACATTTACACATGTCATCACTTGGCTTGTCTCGCCAGCCCAGATTTCCATATATTCCCCCCTCTCTCTATGTTTCGATATTTATTTACCCCGACAATTTGTGGAAAATCATTCAGATTTTTATGGCTTCTTTAATGGTACCACACCATTTGTGTTACTGGTATTTCATTTCTATGTTAACTGATTTGTTTTGTTCCATACATACATATATATTTTGTCCATATGTGCCATATCACTCAAAATTTTTGTTTACTTTTGAGATTTGAAGGATTTTCGTTAGCGGCTAGAAGTTTCAATTTGGGGTGTGAGAGGTAGTGTTTCGAGGGAGATAAATATGTCATGAAGCCAAAAACATACGTTTGGCGTTTAATTTCTAACAATTTATCAGATTAAATGATTTATGGGGAAGAAGACCAAATTATTTCAATAGAGGACAATTTGGGAATCAAATTCTTATAAGGCAAACTAATTAAAATTAATTGGACCTTTTATTTAATGAAAAAACTCAAATGTGCTCAATACAATCTTAAAAACAGAATTTGTATTTTAAAATAAACTTTTATCACAAATAAATTCGGCGAATCTTTCAGGAACCCTATTTTTGTATATACCTCAAAATTGTTTATACCTCATATATATAGAAATATATACCAATAAAATTAAATTTTAAAAAAGTACACTTTAATCAATTTCCTTTAACCATTCGCCTTTACCGTAGAACAACATTTCCGAAAACGCATCTATATAAATGTATTTACAATTAACTTTGCAAATAATTCTCACAGCTTAAATACGTCAAGGTAAAATTTACAGCATACACGAAAATCTAACTGCTGACATAAAAATATTTAAAATCGTCAAAACAGTTCTGAAGTTATGTCCAAAAATATAAACGAACATTTATAATATATGAGGTGTAATAACGGCCTTGTTCGAGGAGACCTTAGACAAAAGTCAATAAAAATCCTAAATTCAATGAAAATACAATAAATGTATTTTCTAAAATATATACTTGATCATATATTATCATTTAAAACATATTTAAAAAAAAAACTATTTTCTCCAAAGAAAAATGGCGTGAGCATATTACTTTAATAAAACAAAATTTAACCAAAGTGCATCTATAAATAATCCTTGGCTGGTAACGTTGAAAATAGTTTTTGTAGACAAAATCCCATAAAGCATGACTTGTACAGTAAACTGTACTCTGTCTTTGGGTTTTTAAATAACCAAAATTGGTTAAGTGGTTCTTGAGTTATACCCACAGTATTATGATGCATTCTTTTAGTTTTACTTGAAAATTGTCGGATCATTTATAAATAATCCTTGGCTGCTAACATAGAAAATAGTTGTTGTAGACAAAATCTTAAAAAGCATGATTTGTATAGTAAACTATACATTGGCTTTGGGGTTTCAAATAACCAAAATTGGTTAAGTAGTTCTTGAATTGTACCTACAGTAATATGATGCATTCTTTTAGTTTTACTTGAAAATTGTCGGATCATTTATAAATAATTATTGGCTGCTAACATAGAAAATAATAGAAAACAGTAAACTATACTCTTGCTTTGGGTTTTTAAATGATCGAAATTGGTTATGTGGTTCTTGAGTTAAAGGGAAAATAATAATGACACATTTTTTATTGTGCTTGAAACTTATTTGTGTTATGCTTTGTTATTAACTTTAAAATTATTTTGTAAAGGTTTGGGCTTGATATGTTTCAAAAATATTGTTAAATTGTATTTTTTGTTTGAGGCTTTATGGCCTTAATCATGATAGAATATATAACGAAATATGTTTTGTAAACTTTTCTAGAAAACCCAAATTTATATCTGATCCTAAAATGGACTCAAACCACCTTTAATATAAACGACACAAATACTTGTCCTCCGTTTTAACTTGTATTCGAAATTATGTATAAATCAAAAATTATATTTTTAAATCCAAATGTTTGACAGTCAACCGAAGTTCCCCATATTAATTATTTCTATATTTAATTATTAAACAAATTCTTACCTGTACTCTGGATTCGGGTAAATTAATTTTCAATGCCACCTCCTCGCGCATAAAAATGTCAGGATAACGTGTTTTGCCAAATAGAGATTCCAATACATCCAGCTGGGCCCGGGTAAATGTGGTGCGTTCACGTCTCTGTTTACGGGTGTTGACACCTGCAGGGTGGGGGAGAAAATATAATAGTTAGCAATGGTTAATCCTGCCTACACATAAAAAACGGTCTAACAATGTGATGAAATTGATAGTTTGCTGCAACATCCAAAAATTGGACGGTTTTAAAAAGTCAACATAAAAGCAAATAAAAAATAATATTAACTTTAAAAGCCATGACATTGGAATTAATGCCAGGGAGTGAAAAAAAAAAACGAACTAAAAACTAATTAATTAAGAGATTAATAAGCAATATCCTGCTGGTTTATTGTGAAACAAAAACAAAACAAAAAACTCGTTACAGGCCATGGAATGTTTAGTCTACAGAAAAAAGGATAATACCATTCACAGACCAACAGACGGACATACATTTTCCTCACAATGAAAATGGCGGCGTATTTCCACAAAACAAAAACCGAAGCAATAATGGAAATGTATGGAAAAATGTCCCGTGAAATAAAGGTGGCTTTTTGGGTTGGGTATAAAACAACAAATAGTAGCATTGCTATTGTTGTTGTTGCTATTGTTATTATAATACCAAACAAAGAAGAATTGCGTGCTGCAAAACAACCCCTTTCGTGGCTGCTGCCGAATGAATTTTCCACCCCTATTTCTATGTATCACAAATGGATTCGGGTTGGTGGAAATTGTTTTCCGTTCGCTCTCTCTCTCGCTTTGTACATAAAACATTAGAGATGTACGAACGAGTGGTATATAAAAACTGTATAGATGTTATTGTTTTTTTTTTCAACAAAAGCAAAATGCACACATACATATATGCCAGAGTAGTAAGTATGTATGTTAAAATGTAAATGTGAATACAGGAAGAGAAAAAAGTTTTTTTTTAATCCGGCGACGACACCATTGTTTTGTCACCCTATCCCTCTTTTTTTTAACAATTCGATCATCTAATCTAGTCGGCTAGACGGCCGTCGGTTATACCGAAAAACGTGAAATAGTTTTTTAATGTTGTCGTCGTTGTTTCAGGCTCACCAAAAAAAGGGCCAATTTTATTTATTCCTTGCTGACTTGTACGTGCCCCTTTGCAGGATGCCTAATTTTACAGCTGGCAGAAATCACAGTATGAAATCAAAACAATAAAAAATTGTTGATGGAATTAATTTGAAGTTTATTAGAGATGATGATGACGAAGACTGGTTGGTTGGAAAACCAAAAAGGCCAGATGTGAGTAGTTTCGAAAAAAACGGCCTATTACTCTTTTTTCTAAAGAAGTCAATTTGTCTGCTGCCTATCTTTTTGCATTTTGTAGTGAAATGTAAAATATATGACATTTTAGTTTTGTTGTTGTTTTTTTTTTTTGCTCTATCACAGAATTTATTTGTGGAGTGGAGTCTCCATCATGGTCTTTATTGTCAGTCAGTCAGTGCATGCAGCCAGCCGCTCATTATTCATTTTGACAATATTATTGATAATGATGCAATCTGTTTTCATTTATTAGGCCCCTCTCAAGAGTCAGTCAGCCAGCCAGGCTGGCAAGCTTTATGAACAAAAATAGTTGATAAAAAAGTCAATGGACCAAAATTGTGTGATCAAGCCACAAAGTCTTTTTAAACTGGAATATTGGAAAAAAATAAATATTTTTTCATGCTTGTTGGTTTTCAGTATTTTTTCTTTTCTTTTTTCGAAATGATGATATGAGTCTTGCACTTGATGGTCTCCAAAGAGACTGTGTGACAGGATTTTTCTTTTTTTGTTCGGCTAAACCAGGCTTTTATGTTTATTTTTACATTGAATGACCAAGTTTTGTATTCCCAAGCGGTTGTTTTTTCCAAGTGAAATCACCATGTCATCTTTACTTAAAATTGAGTTATCAGTTGGTCTGTGTTTATCATTCATTCATTCTGTTTTGTCACGACAAATCATTTGTCATTTATGTATCGTTTTTATGTTAAACAAAATGCATTTTGAGATTTTTTTCCTACGTCGTCTTTTTGTTGTGGGTCTTTTTTGGGAGTTATGAAAAATGAAGGTGGGTTTTTTGGAAAAAAAATATATATATATTAAGAAGCTGAGATTTTTAAGCTCAAGGAAAAATTTAGGTAATTAAAAATTTTATAGGACAAAAAAACGAAGTTTTCTTAATGTTATCTGTAAAGTTATCTGTGGGTCCAATTTCCAAAACTCCAAGTTAAGCTGAACCTAAAGTATTTTTCTTTGGGATTTTTTTGTCTCGTTGATGTCTTTGGATTCCGAACACGAAGTCTGTTTAATTCCCTTACATTTGTCCTATTTATTTGCTTTAATCCCCAATGTAATTTGAAAGTTACAGTCGATTTAGTGGGGAACCGTTTTTCCCTAATTTTTGAATTCCCTATTATTTTAACTTGAATTGTTTTTGTTTTTCAAACGCAAATAATTAACTAAAAATTTCATCACATTTTATACCGTTATCGATTGTTTTTTTTTAACCAAAATTGGTGCGATATTTACCCCACATACCTTGGGAGAACCCGACGGCCTCTAAGCCGTGGGGTAAACCAAAGGGTCCCAGTGATGGCATTGGCATGCCCGGCGGCAATGGTCCATGTGGCACGGAATGATGCGGATGTGGCCCACCATAGCTGTGCGGATGAGGGCCCAAATCGCCCGACTTAAGGAAACCGGCAGCCATTAAGGCTTCTGTTGAGTGTAGAGCCACGATGAGGCCGTAAACAGGTCAACAGGTAAAATTGAAGAGAAAAACTGTAAAAAGTGGGAAAGAAAAGAAAAAATAATCAGTTAGTTAATTGTTAATATAAGTAATAATAATTATGATTACATTAATTAATAATAAATTTATAAAATGGCGTACTTAGTTGAATAATTTCCTTAACGAGGGTTGTTGTTTTTTGTTGTTGTTGTTGTATGAAATTAAATGCACATAAAATTATAGGTTAGGCGAAAATTCCCTTTTTTCACTTTGGATATTGTGGACAGATGCGTTATTAATTTATATAACCACTGTTGTTGCTATTGTTGTTTTTGTTTTTTTTTCTTTGTTCCGCTAAGCATGCGTTCAAGCAAGCGTGTAATTTTAGGGTCGTTGGATGTGTGTTTGGGTTATGGTCTGAATTTCACAACTCATTTGGGTTAAGCAGAAGAAGAGAGCCGACCGATAACTGCATTCCAACTGCAGAGTATTTTGCAAAAAAGTATCCCCCTTGCCTGATGTTAATAATTCTTTTTGGATGAGCCCTAAACAGTGGTGGTTACGATGGTGCTGATGATGATGACGAAGTTGGTGATAACAATATTCCCGTTGCTTTGTTTTGATGTAAACTCTACGACGGTGATATGGCTAATGCTGTGTGGTGTGCGGTAGACCAATAACCAATGCCGTATGAAAATGCCAAATATGGATCGAAGCGTTAAGTGACAAATAACTGGAGGGTACCTAGAGAGGTGTGGACATGTTAAGAGCCTGGATTACCCTCAGTAAGTGTGAGTGAAAGGGGCAGAGAGACAGGACAGGGCAGGCAGAAAAACAAGGACTTTGTATAAAGCCAGGATAAGGGACGGAGTTCTATTGATGAGTTTTTAATCCCCGGCTAAGGATTTCATCAAGTCCCTGCCAAAAGAAATTCGCACACAATTTCCTAATTCCAGTCAACCAAGCAGTCGCTCCCGTCGATGAACGGAAAGAAAACCAATTTTAGGTAATTCGGGTTGTTGGTAGCTGTGCGTGTGTGAACTTTTTTGTTTTCAAGAAAGCCGAAAGTAGACTAATTTCCATGTCTGTCTGTCTGTCCGTCGGGGTGTTCACATATAAGCCCTAATCCCGGCTTTTGGTCGGACAAAGATTAAAACCACACACACCTATGATTAAAACAATGATCATGAAAGGCAGCAGTTATGCTTGCATGTGTGTGAGTGAGTGTGTGTGTGTGTCTGTTGATCCTAGGTACCCAAATAATATTCAAATTTCTATTTTGATTTGGTTTTCTTTCAAACAAACAGACCGGTCAAAGATCACACAAAATACTAATAATAGAGTAAAAAATTTGGGTTTTCAAACCAAAATTAACAAACAATTTGTCAATGCTTGAAATATGTTTTTATTTCTTCTTCTTCTTCACCGTCTTTACGGGCTTCTTAGCCAAAAAAATATAACCAAACAAAATGACAAATGAATTATCCCAAAAACGAAATGAATTGAGAAATGACACAAAAAAGTGAAAACAAACAAGAAACGTGATTTTCAACGATTCAATTTCAATGGTCATTATTCGAACAAAAATTTACATCTAAATCTTTTGGCCATTCTTAGGGCACGCACGTTTACTTGGACAGCGACAACAACAACAGCAACAACGCCCTGAGGAAGTTGGCCATTGTCTTTGTCAACGCATTGTATTTCCGGCCGAGCTGTGTGTCAAGCTGTTACACAAATTAACTTGAAATCATGTCTGGAAACAGCATGAGATTGCATAGCCAAACAGCCTCAATCAAATATCAAATCATTGTCGCCAATGAATGGTCCAACAAGGTCAGACAAATAGAAATCGATCATCTCATCAACACCCGCACTCAACGCAACCAAACACCATTACCTCCGGCCACACAAACAAAAGTCAGAACGAACGGACGAACGAAAAAAGGTTATAATAAAAATAAACATTTCTGGCCTAATGAATGAAAATTGATGTTTGTTATTTCAATACGCACTTTGTAATTACGGTCAAAATAATATTTGCCTTTAATGCCCAGTAGCTGGCCAAACTTTATGTTAAGCGTTATAGATAGCAGAAAATGTGGTGGCCCTAGGGAATTCCAGATAAACAACAACCAAACATTATTTTTAATGAAATATTGAGAAAAAACGACTACTACTGACATCATACATATTTGACATTCGGTGGGAAATAGTGGTGAAACTCTCTGTCGTTCTTCGCCCTCATCAATGATTAATAACTTTCTTGTTGTGCCCCCCTTTTGCTAAGTAGTTGTAACTTTTGCGGGCTACCAACACAGCTTGAGTTGAGTGTGGTTTCGTTTTTGTACCCCCAACCCCGATTAAGTAGTTTATCCAACTGACTGACCACCACCATCAGCACCACTAACCATCAAAACCTCCAACATCTGTAGCTACGTACCCCTTGCTGTGCTGTTAATAAACACCAGCTATGAGAGACCGTCACAGTAACAGCAACTCTAAATGATCTTCAGCACATTACAAATGTTAATGTGGAACCATGTGGACAAAAGAAAAAAAACTTTTACTTGTTGGAGTTTTTTTATGTTTAGCTGTTGTTATTGTAATATTTGTATTAATATTTGAAATTGGTTACGGTGTTATATTGACTATTGTATTAACAATTTTCTGGTTAATCTTGTTAGTAGAACTATTTGGCTCGCAATGACAAGTGGCAACATTTAAAAAAAGGGAGCCAAAAGAAAATAAAAAAGAAAAATTTCTGTAAAATTGTTATTCGAAGTGAGGAAAAAATGGAAAAGGAAATAGTTTAGATTATTTTGAAATCTATTCAAATATGTTTTTGTGAAATTTTATAGAGGGGTTATTTAAATGGAAATATAAAAGGAAGATCGAAGGTCAACCAAAATAACATAAAACGAAATTAATATATTTTTTATTAATATTGTCTATATATAGAACAATATATATATAATACGAATTTTGTTTTCTTAAAAACTAAACCAAACATTTCACAGATCGAATTTGCAATACCCCCAAAATTTCATTGTTATTTAATGTAAAAATTAATGAAAGTGAACAGGGGTCATATTCCCTAATTCCATGCACATTTTTTTAATAAATTATGTCTAGTTTTATTTTTTTTTTTTAATTTTATGTTCCAGTTTTAAGAACCATCTTAAATTAAATAATACACCAAGATTTTAATATTTCATTTCATGATCTCAACTATGCGTTCGCTTCAGTGAAACATTCAATTGAATTAGCTAGTTCGGGAATTAATATGTTCTCCACGGATTCGTAGAATCTCTGATATAAATGATCAGGATACATAGAATTTTGCTACTCGTCTAATGTCCCGATTCAAATATTTTCAGAAACAACTGTCACCATTCATTGCTTAGATTAATTGCAGTATTTTCGAAATTTCATTATTTATATGTTTGGAAACATAATTTCTCGAAGTACATATATGGTAATATGAGTCGTTTTAAACTAGCATGATGAGAACTGAAGGTTTTTAATTATAGCACTTGACCAAAAACGAAAAGATCTAGTTCCATGAGCTTTCATTAGTGTAACGTTCAATTGAACTACTTCGTATGTGAATTAGAACCAGTGTTACCGCTGGGAATTTTCAAAAAGTTGCACAAAAAGTCGACGCTTGGAAAAAAGTCGCACTGAAAATATAAATCTGTTCCGAGAATATGTCAGATACTCATGTAACTCAAAGACGACGTAAACGAATCCAAATTAGTTTGAATTGGAAAAATTCGCACAAAGTTTAAAAAGTTACGACTTTTGTCGCACAACGGTAACCCTGATCTGAACAGCTGTTGGAGCAATCAGCTGTCAAAACAAATTGTTGTGATTTGAAATAAAATAATTAAAAAATGATTAAAAAATGTTCAATCTGAATTAAGTTTTAGTGAAAACGTTTTGTAATATGTTTTTTTAACCTCAACTCTTTACAACAGCTATAAATCTGACTTGAGAGTACTTGCTAATATTAGTCAAATTAATAATCACATTTCCAATATATGGTTTGTATGAGATTTTATCAGAGCCTAGATAAGAGCACTTTTGGAAGGCCAGAAGATTTTAAAATCCGTCGAAGGCTGCAAATAATTTCTGAAAGAGATCAGTTTAATCTAGCGATTGAACTTTGTTCGCCTTACCATGTTCTTAATCATTTAGAAGAAAGTGTGTACTTTTACAAATCACCCATGCCTATGAGAAATGCTGAGATTTATTAAAGAGGTTAATCAAGCGATTAAAACATAGTAGATTAAAAAAAAACGTAGTAGATTAAAAGAAAATTAAAATATTTCAGTGAAAATATCATTTTGAAGATAACAACAAAGTTGGTGCTCTTACTACCGAGGTGTTTCCTAATAATCGGGATGGGTATGGCTTAAAATAAAGGCTGCTATTATTGCAGGACAATCGCTGTCGTCATTATTATAAACATAAATCATTTGAAACAAAAAATAAAATATTTATGTGAATTGTTCGTATTTGGATTAAACCAATTTGTAATGAAAATATTAAAACTTCCAAATAATCGAAATGTATTAAAAAAGAGAGACTTATAAAATTATATTTTGAAGAAGAAAACTAGTTTTTGAGACCCCTCAAATATGAAAAAAAAATAATTATACCCATTCAAATCGTATCCTTAGAACTACGTCCATTGCATTGCGAATTACAACTGTAAATCTGCCTACCTATTCATATTAACTTCCTTCTATTCTAACATGTCAACAACCATCCAGACCATATCAACATATTTCCTACTTATGTGTTTTTTTTTTGTTCTCATATTTTTTCAAATTCTTAATTAAAGTTTGATGATGAAATACTGGCTACTGAATAGATAGTTATAATACATTGCAGCACCCACTGTGAATTGGAATGAATTGTGCTAGGTGAGTGACAGGACTTCAGGTACATACAGACCAACATACATAGGTACCATGTCAAATGGAATTTACGCTATGAAATGTGTAATATTTACGCGCTTTTCTATGCTGGCTGG